AAACTGTGGCTGACCCCTCCAACCGCAGTCATAAAGACACTGCCCTCCGGTGGGAGGTTGCTAGTTTTTAAGTTTGATACGATAACGATTAGATTTTTCAAAATAATGGTAACTTTTAGAAAACATCTATTCATTAGATTTGCAGATGATACCCAATTGTATCTGTCAATCAAGCCTGATGAAATTAATCAATTATCTAAGTTACAAACTTGTCTTAAGGACATAAAAACCTGTGTGAGCTGCAATTTTCTGATGTTAAACTCAGACAGAACTGCAGTTCTTGTACTTGGCCCCAAACACCTCTGAGACTCACTGTCTAAAGATATAGTTACTCTAGATGGCATTACCTTGGCCTTCAGCACCACTGTCAAGAATCTTGGAGTTATCTTTGTTCAGGACATGTCCATTAATTCCTACATAAAGCAGACCTTTTTTCATTTACGTAAGATTACAAAAATTAGACACATCCTGTCACAGACGGATGCAGAAAAACTAATCCATGCATTTGTTACTTCTTGGCTGGATTACTGCAATTCCTTATTATCAGGCTGCCCCAATAAGTCCATTAAAACGCTTCTATTAATTCAGAACGCTGCAGCACAAGTACTGACAGGAGCTAGGAAAAGAGATCATATCTCTCCTATAGCTTCTCTGCACTGGCTCCCTGTAAAATCCAAACATTCAAACATGGCTTTATCCATTGTTCTTATTTCTGTGAAAAACAGGGGGAAACTTCTCTCTGCTGCCGTCAGCCGAGGCCTCTGCGTCATCGTATGTCACCACACTGCGCGGCTCCGACTGCCCTCAGTCACACAGACTCCTGACATTTGACATCATGTCACATAATAGCTAAGCCTTCGGGGTCAAACCAACAGCATCTCCAAATCCAACCCTATGACAGGCAGCTGACTCGAGTCTGTGTCAAAGGTAATCGTGGTGGAAAAAAATATAATCTAGGTTGACTTTACTGGGACCAGCCTGTTCACTGGTGATACTTTTATAATAATAAATAAATAAAATGACTTTATGATACTAACTCATTATTTTGAGAGTTTCTCAATATGTTATCTCAAAGTTATATGAAGGTTATCTCAAAAGAATCACTTTATGATAAGTCATTATTTTGAGATAAGTAAAAAATATCGAGGAAGTTATGAGATAATAATCATTAATTATTATTTTAAAATATTGAGACACTTTCTCAATATTTTGAGGAAGTTTCTCAATAATCTCAAAGTTATATAAAAGTTATCTCTAAATAATGACTTAGTGTCTCAAAATAACTACTTTATGATGAGTCGTTATTTTGAGATAATAATTCAAAATATTGAGAAGGTTTCTCATTATTTTGACTCTTTGAAAAAAATGTTCCTCACTTTGGCGGAAATTGGCTTCCATAGGTGTTCCATGCATCGACGGGGTGAAAGAATAATAGACTGGATTAACTGAAAATGAACAGTGTTTTTTTATTTTTTTTGCACCAACTGCTATCACACTTTGACAAAGTGTTCAGGTAATGCTGAGCAGATTGGAGTTTTAGCTGTACAAACATTTCTCAGAGCGGCTCTGGAGACAGAAATCGAAAAAAAAAAAAAAAAAACCCACCGGCTGATATAAACCTCCACAGCTTTTTCAGAGCACACGGCAGAGGCACAAGTTTGCAGATATAACCGGCAAATGAACTCAATATTAACAGCAAGTTAGAACCGCAGTAATCAATATTTTTATATTAACACTGAATCAATGTTACGTGATGTAAAGTGAAAGCTGTTGTGACAGCCCCACAGAGAATTCTCCTCAACTCGGAGGAGCCTCATTCTCATTAATTGCATTTTTCAGCAAAAAAGCTTTGATAAACTACACCACAGCAGCAGAGACACAAACCTAACTCTTATTTGTTGGCAGGTTACAAAATCAGCACCTGCCTCCAGCCAAATGCCTGTAAATATGCTGTACCCAAAGCCCCCAGGAAGAGCACCGGGCCAGTTTAACACAGTGGCCAAAGCGTGTATTTACAGTCATGTAATGTTGCAAATAAATATACGTTGTTGAGTTGTGTACTTACATTATCCCAAATATTTCACACAATGTTCTACTGTTTTTATTACGGGAAAGGTCTGGCAACCACAGCTGCCAGTTTTTTACCATAAAAAGAATTTCTCTCACTGTTTGAGTTGAGAAGAAAGTTCAGCTAGCTCAGCTTTTTCTGCCCTGTTGAGGTTGATTCTGCCTCCAGAGCAGGTCTACCACTAAGAAATAATCAGCACTTATCACCTGACAAAGCTTTTGTTATTGTAAATTATCATTTGATTTAGAAAAGCGTTGCTTACCTGAGAGAATTAACGACATGCTGAGGTAATTAGTTGTTCAGTGGCTGATTCTTTACAGCGCAGAGCAGCACTATGTGGTTGTGTGACAGAAAAGTAACATTGTGCATTCCCAACTGTCCTTTCATGTCATTTACATACAGACACAAACTCCTCCTGTGAATAAAACAGTATTTATAATGTGGAGACAGGTGGCAGTTTGACTAGTGATTGACAGGTGTGACAGCATGAGTTTTTTTTTTTTTTTTGATGGATCAGGAAAGGAGTCATGACTTGACATTGGACTGACACAATGAGTGCAACCTCTGACAGCAGGATTTTAAGGATATTTAATGTACCATATCAGAAAATGGAAGGATTTTATGGCGTTTTTTTGATTAATTATGACTCAAACAGAGAGACGTAAGCTCCATGCAAACAAATTTAGCTCCAAATCAATTTTAAGAACACTTGTTTTCTCAGTATCTAACATAATGTATGATTTACATTTCTTTGAACAAGCCCCTTCAGATCTTCTTTCCAGGGTCCTACATAAAAAAAAACGTCTGTGTCACTGCTGTGCTGCTAAAAATATCTGAGGCAAATTTTAATCAAAATTATCTCGTTTAAAATTGCATTTTGCTTGATGAGTCATCTTAATTAGCAAATTGCTCATTGTGTGTGAACAGATGGAAGAACATGCAATCAAGGTTGATAAAGCATGACAGTTTAACACTGGAATAGAGCCTGTTAAATCACTCCGTATCGTCACGTCACCTGGTTTTCACCCAGATCATCGAGCATGAGATTGATTAACCCTCCAACAGTCATTTTGTTTGGGTAATAGTCAATAAGTCTCAAAGTGCTAGAAACTACAGCCGGATACTTGCGGCCTCCATCAGCGTTCCCAAACCACTACCTAATCCAAACAATCAAAGGTGCTTTCATCCTGTTAAATTATGAGCTTGTTTGCCTGCAATTAGTTTGGTGTGAACCAACTCTATTAGCGTGGCTCAGTGATTTCTCTTCCCTCGCCTCCCGACAGATCTCTTGATCCGTGTTGTGTGCGTAATTAACCATCAATGATTGGCTCCACGGCTGAAGTGGAGAACGCCGGTAAGCCGAGGCGCTACCGCACTTATCCGTTTCAAGGACCCCTGACCCCGTGTGATCCAGTTCAGGAGTCAGCTGTGGTTGCTTGCGTGACCTTGTGCATTCAGGGCGATATCATCGATAGTTATTCTTCTTCACAATATTGTTGCCTTTGTGGGTGGCCACTGTGTCAGAATAGGTGAATGTAGGGTCAAAGGTCAAGGGCAGAGCCAGGCGTGCTGGGTTTAGCACAAGCTTTTTTTCCCATTTACAGCAGCCATATGCATTATTCATGCCAGTTGAGATGCCAAACAATCAGTATGTCTAGTATGGTTACGTTTAGGATGATTCATTGCCCAGAACCTATGTTGCACGTCATACCCGTCATTTTGTTTCCCAAAACCCAAGGTGACGTCCTTGAAGTTTCTTGTTTTGTCCACAACAACAACCACAACAAAGATACTCAGTTTACTGTCATAGAGGATTAAAGAAACCAGAAAAAAATCACATTTAAGAGGCTGAAATAAGAGAATTTGGACTTTTCTTTCTTAATAAAATTACGAGATTTAATTGATTATGAAAATAGTTGGTGATTAATTTAATAGTTATCAACTGATCGATTTATTGTTGCATCTTGACTGTAAATTATCCAGTTAAGACAAAAATGACCAATAATAATAATAATTTACAGTAAACATGGTTATATTTAGTTGAATGTATGTGTAGATTGTTAATACGGCCCTGATGGATTCTGTCTTTAGATCAGTTAGATTTTACGATGAAAACCTGTCAAACAATGAAAGTAAAAGACCGTAAACTCTAAATAGGTTTTTGTAACAGTTAAACACTGTGATATCTCAGGGCAAAACCTTTATTTATACAGCATTTTAAAGGAATTTATACAGAATAATGTAGTTATTTTATATTACAGGCTGTAAAAACAACACTTTTTTACAGTAAAAAAGTCAAAAACCGTCAGAAAACGGTCAGCTGTGGTTACCAGAACTTAAAAAATTAGATATAAATAGACTTTTTCTACTATTACGGTGAAATTATATTAGTTTATTATTATTATTTATTTTATTTTATGGTTAAAGTTGGACTTTTATTTAAGTTTTTACCATCTAAAGAAAAAAAATGTTTTGCCATGAGGTATGATGGTAGTTTTTCTGTACATTTTACAGTCTTAGACTTTATTTGATTTAAATTCCTTTAAAATCCCTTATAAAAAGAGTTTTTTCCCTCAGATATGACTGTGAGTGTTTCACTGTTACAGAAACTGTATTTAACCTATTTAGATTTGATGTTGTTAATTTGAGTCATTGGAATAACAGAGTATGACGGAAGATGAAGGCGGTGAGAGTGAAAGACATGTTTGCAGTAGGTTTATGTTTTTTATCTGAAATGAAAGGTGGATCAGCACACAGGGACCCCTGGGGCTCTTTCGCGGACCCCTGGAGCTCTTTAGGGGACCCCTGGAGGATCCACGTCCCGCTAGTCCTCCTATTCTTCATTTAATAATGTATTCTTGACAAACACACGCAGGCTGCCCTCTCCCTCTCTCCCTCTCTCCCTCTGTCTCTCTATCAGCTGGGTTTATTCTCAGTGGACACTGATGCGCACAACATAACAAGGCCTTTCTCCCCCTCCTCCCTCTCTCTCTCTCTCTCTCTCTCTCTCTCTCTCTCTCCCCCAGGTTCTCTCCTCTATCCCGTCTCCCCTCCTCTGCTCTGCACCTGCTCCTCCCCTCCTGCCTTATTATCCTCAGACTCAGAGCAGCGCTCCGTCCTCGCCAAGTGATGCTCCTCGGCGGCGCACATCGGTGGGTAGTCGCCGCCCGCTGCAGGGAACCGCGCTCCGGCTTGTTTTTCTCATGTGGAACCGCGCAATGAAGGACGGCGGAACATGGGAATTTAACGGGGCTTTTGAGAGAGAGTGAGTCGGAGGAGAGCAGGACGACGAAGAAGCACCAAGTCCCATCCGAGAGAGGTGGAGGAGGAGGAGGAGGAGGAGGAGGAGGAAGGGAACTCCGGGGAAACGGTCCCGCCGGGACGGGGGAACGCAGCGGAAGGTTCTGTGCTGTACAGAGTTTGAAATGGACTCAGTGTGCCGGGTTCTGCTGCTGGGCTGTGCAGAATAGATCGCGGGATTTAAAGGAAGGGGTTCCTCGGAGTTGCGGTCGGTCGGTGCATTTCTGTTTGTGATGGAGTGAGTGAGAGAGAGGGCGCACGGTAACTTCAGCCTCGCTATGAAATCAGTGTTTTTCAGCCGCTTCTTCATCCTGCTGCCCTGGGTCCTTATTGTCATCATCATGATCGATATCGACAGTAAAAGGACGATCCGGGCTCCTGCGGCCGCTCGGACCGGCAGGGCGCAGCGGGCGGCCCGGACCGGCGCACCAGGAGTCGGTGGCACCCAGAACCAGACCGCCCTGCCGGTCATCTACGCCATCACTCCGACCTACACCCGCCCGGTGCAGAAAGCGGAGCTGACCCGGCTGGCGCACGCCTTCCGCCAGGTGCCCCGGTTCCACTGGATCGTAGTGGAGGACTCGACGGCGCGCACGGAGCTGGTGGCGCGCTTCCTGGCCCGGTGCGGCGTGCCGTACACACACCTGCATGTGTTCACTCCCCGCAGGTTCAAGCGCGCCGGGATGCCACGCGCCACCGAACAGCGGAATGTGGCTCTCGCGTGGCTCCGGCAGCACCGGAGCCGGCGGGACGCAGGGGTGGTTTTCTTCGCGGATGACGACAACACGTACAGCCTGGAGCTGTTTGAAGAGGTAACCCTACATTTAATACGTTACCTGTGTTATTACCCCGCCCAGGTGTCCGCACTGTACCGGGAGCGCTCGGTCTGGAACCGGCAGCTGTTTGTCTGCAGGAATTCTGCAACTTTATGAGCTCCACTGTGAGTCTGTCAGCTGTGGTTTCCAGAACTTTACCGTAATAAACATGGGCGAACCTTTCTAATATTACGGTAAAGGGATATTGGTACTGTAGATTCTACCGTTAAAGTTGGAGTCTTTGTCCATATTTTACCGTATAAATACTTTCTACCTTTAAAAGAACCAATTTTGCAACATGAGGGTGGTTTTATAGTCCGTAACATATAAAACAAACCTGCTTTAGTCCAGATAAATTCCTTTAAAATGCCTAAGACTCAAGGGTTTGCCATGATATGACTGAGTTTACGTCTTTTACTGTCTTTGTTTGACTGTTTTTTACAGTCTAAAATATTTGAATTAAGTATTTTAGTTTGAAAACCAGAGGAAGAAAACATAAAGGTGGAGTTAAATATTAAAGATCCCCTTCATATTTTCTCATAATAAAACAATAATCTTGTGTCTGAGATGTTTTTATGCAACAAAAAGTCTAATTTCCAATTCAAATCCTTAAAAAATCATCTCCTCTTTCTACCTCATTAAAAGCTCCAGAATATAAATATGCAAACTCTAAAGATGTCTCATTGTTCACTGTAGTCCATCTTCAGTGTCACTGCTCACCAGGATCTGAGTGTTTGTGATGTCACAAATCATGCTGGTAGGCCCCGCCCCTTTAAAATCAGATTTTCAGTCTCAGAGAAAGTTTCCACTTTCAGCAGATGAATGTGAAACATCCTTCTAAACTCTGCACATTCATCATTCAAACATCAGACTGTAGAAACAACCCTGATCTCTGACTGGAGGGAGACTTACAGTAGTAATATCTCAATACAGGTCCTGCATTTAACTTATAAAATATAAAATAACAGAAGTATTATCAGCATTGAATTTATGAGGAATTTATGAGGAAAATTGCACATAAATGACTGTGAGCTTACCATTAGCTTATGGTGGCTAATGTTAGCGAACCTTTTAGATATTGTTGAGGAAGTGAGACAGTTCACTGACTGTATGTCTCCTCTGTACCTTCACTGCGCTGTTGTGTAATGTTGTGTAATGTTGTGTACTGTACCGTTGTGTTGTCTATATTTTAGCATATGTCTTATAATTGCCACCTGCTGCCACAGAGGCTGCCTTTAAGCAAACACAGACTGACTTTAAAGTATAACCAGTACTCGTTATGCAGAATGGAGTCATATTATTATCATTATATTAATATTATTATTATTATTATATGATTAATATTGAAGCATTTACATGTCAACAGCATAGAAATGTTGTAGCTGATGTATCTGAAGGTCATTGTAACGGCGTTACATTCGTCTGGATTCAACTGTGGCATCATTTCTTATTTGCTGATCACATGTTGTATGTGAGTTTGTTTTCTGCAGACATTGGTCCTGGTCACAAACAAACAAACAAACAAACAAACAAATGAAAGAAAAATAAATTACACAATTAAATAATGTAGTCAACTGTAGTTTGTAGTTGTTAACTGTAGTAAATGTAGTTAACAACAAATAAATACTGTTAAATTCTTCCTCAACATTCATTCATTCATTCATCATACAAATTACTATTTTTTATTTTTATGGCTCATTAATAATAATAAAAAAAGAATAGCATGAAGGGAGATTTCGTTCTACAACCTTGAGTTAAAATAACCTTGAATCATTAAAATAAGTGAACTGTAAAGAGCCATAACAGGCGGTAGATAAAGACGATCAATGGGGAAGTGTCCCTCTCTCTCCCCCCCAGCGGGCTCCACTTAGGAAAGTGATAGTGAGGTCATTGATCGAGACTATTAGGGGCCTCTGTGTCTTGTGGAAGGATTTCAGAAATCTTTCATTGTATGTTAAAAGTTAACTTCCAACTGTAGCAGGTCTCAGAAACCAGAGATCTGTTTGCTTCCACATATTCTCCTGTGAAGTTATTCCATCTAGACTTTAAAAAGTACATGGGAATTATGGTTAACTACAAATATTTGAGCACATTTCAGGATTTTGTCATCATTTGTTGATGTAATGTGAGGGCATAATAGAGGTGAGAGCTGTACCTTTAATAGCATGTAATGTCTGAGCTCCTTGTTTCACAGCACCATGAGGGTAAAAGCTCTATTTCCCCCATTTCTGACCATGTCGGCACCGTAACACATTATGCTGCACAGGGAAAGTCATTGTTAGGCATTCCCCAAATGGGATCATTTGAAAGGAATTCAAACGTCGACATTCTCCAGTTCTTCTTGGTGATGGGATCCCACTGGAGCCTCGATAAAAAAGCCCCTAGGAGGCTGCAGACCTCGCCTCGTTTCACCTGAGGGGCTGTTGTTAAACCAATGTATTCCAGTGGAGAAAGTGGTGAAACTACATGGACGCTTGGTGTGGAAGGAGTTTTCTCCACAGAGGCAGTGGGAGTTGAGACTGACTGACAGAGAGAGAGATGGACGGAGGCTGTGGTGATGCTGGTGCTCGGGGTGTTTTGGTGCACCAGGGCTGCCAGTTCTTTCAAATCCTAATCTCACCACCATCGCTGTCCAATTTTTCTTACTGATCCTCTCACAGAACAGCACAGAATTAACAGGCAGGGTTATGTGTGTGTGTGTGTGTGTGTGTGTGTGTGTGAGAGAGAGATCGTTAGGAGCTGAATTAATTCTGATATTATCCAGTTTTTTGTTTTTAATACCCCTAAAATTGCACACTTTTCTGGATGTAAGAGCCTCTTTAAACCAATATGAGACACTGAATGTCTTCTGATGCACTGATAAAAACATATCGACTGGCTGTGGTCTGCGAGTCTGAGTTGGACGACAGGCCAGCTGATACCCCAGTATCGACCTCTCATATTGGCAAACTGACACCTCCATGTAACTCCAGTCTACGTATGAGAGTGTGTTTACGTTAGCGTGTGTGCAGGTATCGCTTTTCACATCAGTCGGCCTTTATGTTGTAAAGACACACAGCTCCAGACGGCCAGGTGACAAAAGAAAGACGAGGCGACAGAACAGTCCTCTCACAAACACTCTGACAGAATGCTGCTCTGATTGCTGATTACTGCCATTCAGAGATAGCTGGCCCCAAAATCTGAAATTGCTGTAATTTGCTCCAATAATAAAATGTTCAGAATGCACAACATTTTTATATAACTCATCTGATAACAGCTCTGAATAATATACTGAAAACTATAAATATACTGCAGTTCATCTGATTGAACCCATTCAGAAATGTCTCCTCCACCTGAGCGTTGCATTATTGGCCCTTTGAAAGATAAAGATTGAATGTTTGCATTGCAAAATGATCGGAGAAGGTGCTTTCTTCTGCTTTTGAAAGCAATCTCTGCAGATAGGAAATAACAAGTTAAACACAAAGTACATTTACATTACGTGTGTTTGATGCACTTTACTTTTCCTCTTTTTTGTTAGGTTCGTTTGGACACGTGAGACTGATGACTGAAAACATGCTTGTTGGACTAAGTAAAGTCTGGTTCATCAATTATGTAATGACTAGAGAAATGCAGTAAATATCAGGTTTGTTTTCCCTAAATCGATTGTTTTATTCATAAAATAGCAGAAATTCTGGGCGAGTACGATTTTTAAAATAACGATTTGGGCGATAACCAATACCACTATTTTTTTAGTGTTTTTTGTTGCTGTATATTCGCCCTTTGGTGCCTTTTGTGCAGTGTTGGAGCTCATTCTATTTATCTTCTTATCCAACATGTAAGACGCAGAGCTGAACAGCCTGGATGGACAGGGGCGTTTCCAGACCGGGGCTCTGGGGTGGCACTGGCCGCCCCTGACATCTGATTGGCCACCCCAAGTGCCTCCCCAGTATCCTTCCCTGCTCCACTCTGAACTGTCTTTCAGAGGCTGTAGCGGGCTCTGTTTTAAAGTTAAACCAGATGATCTAACGTGCCCAGCGGTACCAACCGTGTTATGCTTGCATGTCGGGAAGGAGGCTAAATAACGCAACAAAGTTAGGCAAAATTTTGCAGATGGAAAAACTGGCATGGCCACTTTCAAAGGGATCCCTTGACCTCTGACCTTAAGATATCCCATGAAAATGGGTTCTATGGGTCCCCACAAGCCTTTTCTTTGCAGACACACCAACTTTATGCTAATCCCATGCAGTTTTAGCTGAGACACATACTTGTGCCACCCCCAGTCCCCAGCACATCGGTGTCTGACTGCAATTTGCTAGAAAAAGGAGGTGATTATTCCTTGAGTGTTATAACAGATGGTGCATCCCCAGAAAATGGCCATTGCAATTTCCTATAAAGACCGGCTTGTTTTTGTCTGGCCGACAGACCAAACCCAATAGGAGTCAGTTTACGATGATATAAAACAAAAAGTAAATACTCGCCTTTTATAATCTGGAAATGAAGAATGTTTTGCAGTTTTTCTTGATTAAATAAATGATACATTGATTATCACAATAGCTGAGGTTATTTTCTGCCCTCTTACTCATCGATTAAATTAAACTGACCCAAACATCTGTGCAATCAATCCAGATGCAGCAAAGTAGATTTTTCACATTCAGCCCGAAGAAAATCCAGCATGGTAGAAATCACATGCTGACTATAAATGGATTTTCCCTCCGTTGCATCCCTGAATGCAACACTTAAAAAATCCTCCGTATTTTGAACGCAGCGTGCTGTAGCTGAGTCTGCTCTGACACGCAGTCTCGGTGTTAGATTCGGTGCCTGCGGCTCGGTGTAAAGAGCATCTGTTTGATTTGTTGATAGCACACTGTCTTCTCTCTGTCCTCCTGCCTATTTCATTACCCAGCTCCTCTGTGCAGGTAATGGCCTGTCATAGAGAGATAATAGGCTGTCATACGGCAGTAATAACCTGCAGAAGCTGTCTGCAGGCTTTAGACTGATGATGTAGCTGTGCTTATAGT